GAGAGAGAGAGAGAGAGAGAGAGAGAGAGAGAAGGGAAAAGGGGACGGAGAGAGAGAACTGCAGAGCTCTTCAGTCGCCTGTCTCCTCTAGGTATTCAACAGAGAACTAAACAGTGAATGAGAGTGATAAAGCTGAAGTTGTAAGAATTAGGAAAGAAAACAGTAACTGACATTGACCCATCCAAGACCAGTAACAGTGTCTGTTGCCACCAGAAACCTCAATTCCATGAGTAGTGGGATTTGGGTAAAGCATACAGAAGATGAACCCTGACTTAGTCAGGAAAAAAAATTAGCCTCAGAATAAATGTGCCTTGGGTTTACTTAATAAATCTTAAAAAGCAAGACCAGAAGGAACCAAACTCTTTCCAAGTAATCAATGTGATTAGGACAAAGAACAAGAATTTCTATAAGAATATGAAAAGATGTAGCACCCAGCAAGGTAAAATTCATGACAGGTGATAACCAATGAAAAATTAATAGGCAGGAAAAGAATTAGAGACTGTGACTCAGTAAGGAGAAATATCAACTGAACTGACATAGAAGGTAGAGTTATCAAAAAAAGGACTTTAAAATAGTTATAACTATATTTCAGATATTCAGAGAGTTCAGTACAGACACAGGACATATAAGAAGGATGCAAAATGAATTTTCATGGAAGAAAACTGCAGACTGTGGAATGACAAAATGCACTGACCTGCATTAGCAAAAATTAAACACTGAGGAAGAAAAACATTAGTTTAAAGAAATAGCCTGATGAACTATTAACGGTGAAGACCAGAGGAGTCAGGAGAAGAAAATAAACATCAGTGAATTGTAGGCCAACCTTAAGTACTTGCAACTGAAGAACTCAGTGGATAGAAGAAAAGCAAAAAAGAAAAAAATGTTGAAGAAAAATGGCTCAAAAATTCCAAATTTGACAAGAACTATCAAATAAAAAAATCTACAAATCTCAAGTACACTAAAGGTTTAAAGAAACCTATACTAAGGTACCTATCTCTTGATTAAATGTTCCAAACTAATAATAAAGAAATGTCATAAAAGCAAAAAGAGAGGAAAAACAAACATATTGATATAGAGGACGATAGTAATGGTGATAGCAGATTTCAAAGTGGGAACTGTATAAATAATAAATAGTAGTTTATCTCCTTAAGCCTTAAAGGGAAAAAATCTGTCAATCTAGAATTCTGTACCTTGTTAAAATCTCTTTCAAAAAAGGTAAAATGAAGACATTTTGGAGATAAAAAGGCTGTGAAAATCTACCACCAGTAGAATAGTACTACAAAGCATATTTTGAAGTGGAAAAATAGTATCAGATGGAAATATGGATCTGTATCGAGGAATATTATATAATAAATATATAGTATTTACATCCTTTTACTTAAATTTCTCAAAAAATGTTTGTTAAAGGAGATGTGGAAAAGTATCACATAGGGTCTGGGGATTTAGCTTAGTGGCACAAGCACCTGTCTGGCAAGTGTGAGGTCGTGAATTCAATCCCTGGTACAAAAAAAAAAATCACTATAATGTTTTAACTATACATGAAATGATGTATCATTTGTTTTCCTTTTTTTTTTTGGTACTGGGAATTGAATTCATGACCTGACCTCATACTTGCCAGACAGGCGCTTACACAGCTTAGCTAAATCCTCAGCTAAAATGGTATATCATTTGAAGAGAGGCTCGACAGAGATGTATAAGACATTTCCATGATGTAAATATGAAGCAATCATAAAAATAACAATGAATTGTAAAAAATAAGTCAACAAAGGAGCTGAGGTGGAAATATTAAAAACTACTTAGGAACTGAAGATGCAGTTCAGAGTATCAGCTTAGCTTACGAGAAACCCCAGGTTTGATTCTCAGCATGGCAAAACCACAAAACAAATAAACAAAAACCTCACTCAATTATGTCCATGCAAGACAGGAAAAGAGAGAAAAAAAAAAAAAAAGCAAAGGACAGATGTTCAATAAAAAAATTATGCTACCTCTCAATCACTATCAAAAGTGATATGCATTGATTTTTAAGTGTTGATTTTTGAATTTTATAATAGCAGTAAGAAAGGAAAATTGAACACAGGATTAGGGATTTCAGAGAAGTTACATTTATTGCCTAAAACAAGATTTCTAACTACTTACTCAAGGCCAGCCAAGCTTTATCTCTCTTAACTTATTCAGTCATTTTGGGTCTAAAATAGCTTTAATAATCTTCAAGCCTCCCACAAATATCATTTGATATACTTGACAGTTCAATTGTTTTATTTATTCTTCTATTAGATTATGCTCCCCTTTGAATGGTGTGCCCTCTGTATTCACTGAATTTTACAAACCCCAAATATAAATTTGTTGAAAAGCATCATTTAAAACTCCCCCTCCTTGCAGTGCATAAATCACAGTGGAACTTAAAAGACATGCCAATTTGGGAAACAAATGTGCTTTTGTGTTTGAATCTACATTCCCAGCATGATCTAATGCTAATACCTGCTTGCATTGATAATCATGTTCTTGGTGTTTAGGGGAGATTTTTATAGAACAAAATGGAAGCTTTTGTTTCACCTTCTCTTCAGAGAGAAAAAAATCAGAAAACAAAACAAAACAAAACAAAAATTCTAAAAACCAAAAACAGAAAAACAAACCCAAAGCGTTAGCCAAACCCTAAGATCCTCCGAGGTTCACATTCTGTGATAAGTGAAACTCTGAGATTTGTGTGGCATAACACTGTTTCCTGTTCCCTTTATGCTCAAAGGCTGGTAAGTAAATCAGGCACAAATGGACCTCAGGTGTCTATTTTTGACTTATAGAATCATAAAGAAGTGCTCCACAGCTCTTGTCTTCCTGGTGATTACAAACAAAATTATTCTCTTGGCTATACACTGAATTTCCTTCCTTCTTTACTGTTGAGAAAGATTTTCTATGTCTGGGCCTTTCTGAATGCTATAAGTAAGGAGGAAATTTAAAGCTCTAACATTGAAAATGGCAGAAATTTACTTGTGATGGAGACATAGCTGTTAACTACCGCAATAGTGATGTATACTGATTTGATTTCCTGGACTTCTCTGATGAATGAATGGAGAAGAAAAGACAAAAGCTGACATGGGCTAGTTTGAAATAATTTAGAGGATTTTTTAAGAAATGAAAGAGATTTTATTTGGAGCAGCTTCCCAGCTTGAAACAAATGCAAACACGAAAAGGGCTATGAGCAGCATTTCCTCTCAGCAAGGTTTTATCTACTGTTAAGTAAAATTTTTTGACACAGTGTTGCATGAGTGTGATGCCACCTGAGGTTCATATACTGGATTATGATTGTTATAATTTAAGGGGTAGTGGGTATTGCTAGGATAGTTGGCTCTGGCAGCAAGGTCTCAAGGTCTCAATGAGTGTCAGACAGAAAGTTTATCCCTCTAATTGGCCTCATCATCCCCCTCTATCCTCTACTGCCTTGAGCTTAGAGGAGTTCGTGTGTTCTGATGAGACTTCTTCCTCAGTGCCTGAGACATACTTTCCTCCCCATATACAATACCCAAGGAAGTGTTCCCTCCCTCCAATCCACCAGCCCTTTCAGATCTTAACAGAAAAGCCTTGAAGGTTTTTTGCTTTCCACAGTGCTGAATTGCTTACCTTGCTTATTTCTGAGTAACCGCAGTGGAAATATTTCCTGATGGAATGGGCAGAATGTGACAGTTACGCCTTTAGGCTCACTGCAGTGTCATGAATTGGAAACACCCTTTAATTTTTGTTTTCAGTAAAAAAGAAAGAAAGATAAAGTATCACGAAATTTGGAGGGTGGTTACCTTAAAGAAAATCACTTGGAATGTGTCACATTACGCGTGGCATAGGGAATGTGGTTCTTGCGACACGTTGTGGCAGAAGTTGTGTCTGGTATCCTCACTGTGGGACTCAGTGCATGACAGTGAGGCTGCAGGAGAGGGGACAGAATTGGCAGGAGGTGAGGAGATCTGTGCTAACTGTGTAGTCTTTTCATCTAATACCAAAAGCTTGTTTGTATGGGATAATTGGGTAGAACTGCTACTTACATTCAGGATTTATATACAGAAAATTCTACCACCCAACGTGGTGCATGGTTCTCATGGAGATGACTTTTTCTTTTTTTTAACAAATGAGCCCTGTGGGTTCCTACCAGCAGGAGTGGGGTGAGGTGGGGCTTATTACTGGGTTCTAGGTTTGGTACCAATCTTTCTGTGGCCAGCAGCCCATTTAACACTTATAACAATCCTGCTATGCCATTGATAGGGACAGAATCCAGGTATGAGACTTCCAAAGCTCGTGTCTATTCTCTTTCCACCTACATGAAGCCCCAGGAAGGAGCCATGTGGTCGCCACATTTGCACCAGTCTGTCCTGCATCGTTCCTCGGGGCACCTCAGGGAAACCTGGGGACCGTCTGTAGGCATTCCTGACTCCATCCTGCTCTTCCCTCCTCTTCAGCCTGCTGGTAATTAGATTTCGCCCTCTGGTACTAGAAGTAGTGAGTTGAAAGAACACACAGGCAGCAGCCAGCTCGGTCCTTCATTAACTGAGTGATTCTGAGCAGGCTCTATTGGTCTCCCAGCCTCATTTTACCCACGGTGAAGTGGAGAGGAGCAGGAACCGTTATTACAAGCGATTGAGTGCCATCAGGTCTGTGCTTGGGACGCAGAGGCTGTCAGTAGACACCAAGTCCGTTCGTAATCTGAGAGTACAAATTGTATCTTGCTTGTCTTGTTGGTCCAGCGCTTGGCCCTCCATGAGCACACAGGAAGAACAGTGGTTCTGCTAGCGATGTGCCAGCAAAAGTGTTTCTCCCTTGTGAGATCTGAGGGGTATTTCAGGCAGCAGAAATACCCTCTTCGCTCTTCGCTTCCCCTTCCTCAGATTCTGGCAGTCATGGATGGAGAAGAGTGACCAAGGAGCGGATCCCTTGCAAGGGACCATGCAGGGAAATTGGTACTTGCCGGGGCACAGCTGGGCTCCGGAAGCCGCAGGCGCCGGCAGAGGGCGCCCCGGGCCCGCGGAGCGTGTGCGCTCTGGTGGGACGCACTGGGCGCGCGGGGCGCGAGTCGCAGTCGGATGTTGACCACAGCGCGGGACGGAGCGCGAAGTGAGCGCCTGCTGGGTGCAGAGACCCTGGCCAGCGGCGCCCCGCCCTGCTAGAGCACGGTGAGCACGGGCGCCCGCTTTAGCCCAGTTGGGGACACTTGAGACGACCCGGGTAGGACGCGCGGGCCAGCTTTCCTGCTGCTTGATGTGCGTGGGAGTGGACGGGGTCTCCGCTGACCTTGGGCTTTGGGTTCATAGCGAGAAATGCCGGATGTCGGGCGGAGTTTTGTGTACTGGCAGTTTACTTGATGTTCTGACATCGGGATTGGTTTTTCGAGCCCTGTTTGGAGCTGTCCAGGGGCCCAGGAACTGGCGAGGCCCCCAGCGAGGGCGAGCGCTCACCTGGGCCCCACCTGCCCATCCCCTTTGCCCGACGGTGGCCCCATCCGGGGGAACCACGTGTGGCTGTCGCCTACAATTCTGCCTGTCAAGCACAACCCGCCTCTAGGGGAGGGGACGGGATGGGGGGACAGGTGGGTTGTGCCCCGCGGGAACCCAGCCTGCCTGTACGCTCGCCGAGCCAGTTTCGCTCTCTGCGTCGCTTTCCCGCGGGCTCCAGAGGGGTAGCAGAAGGTGCTGTAGGGAGGACGCGCGTCCTGCCTGAGGGGGCGAAGGCCGCCCAAGGGGGGCCCAGCGCGTGGGTCCAGGAGAAGGAAACAAAGCTGCCCAAGTGACTAGCTCTGGGGTACCCGCTCCCAAGAAAGCTCCCGGAGTCCGGGGCCCCTGATCCAGGGTCCTGTCCGTTTTAAACAGTCCCTGGCAATTGAGGAGCAAGGAGCAGAGCGGCGCCCCGAGCCGGGATTCCTTCCTTCAACCGGCGATTTTTGCGCCTCGGAGCCAGGCTCTGCAAGCAGCGCACTTCCTGACCATCGTGGAGCCGCGGTGCCCGTAGAAGTCCATTTTCCGAGCTCCCCAAGAGAGACAACCCCAAGGCGAGGTAGGTGGCCTTGTCGGGCATGCCCAGCAAGTGAGTGGATTGAGTTTGACATGAGTAAAGCTCCATCTGCTCAAAATCTTGGCGAAAGACGGTGTGTTTTTCCTTCGCTTTTTAGGGTGTTGAGAGAGCTGCCGAAGAGTCAGGGGCGTGGAGGAGCAAGACATGTTTTTTCAGCTGCGTCTTAGAAGGGGAAAATTCCCTGTCATCATCCTAGAGGCAACGACCCTGAAATGTGACCAGGATTGACAGGCAAGGCAGAGGCCTGCGTGTCTTGGGGTTGATGATTAGAATATGCTAAAGAGCCAGTGCTTTCCCTGAAGGAATTTAGGGATGAGCTGGTACTGGTGACAGTGACCTGGAGCAAGAGAGTCAAAAAGACAACTTAGAAAGCAAGAGGAACCTTGCCTGGGGCTAACGCCAATCACCAAAGGGAAATTCCTGCCGCGAATGTTTTCCATCCCTAAGGGAATGCTGGTGAGATCCTGGGACTGGGCCTGGGCTGCCTGTGAGGATAAATTGGATTGACTTCCTGCCCTTGCTTTCTACTTGAGGGGCATCAAGCCCTGATGTGCATTCCTTCTGCAAGATGACTCTGAACACCTCCAGCATGGATGAGACTGGTCTGGTCATGGAGAGAGACTTCTCCTTCCGCATCCTGACAGCCTGTTTCCTGTCACTGCTCATCCTGTCCACTCTGCTGGGGAACACCTTGGTCTGTGCTGCTGTCATCAGGTTCCGACACCTGCGGTCTAAGGTGACCAACTTCTTCGTCATTTCCTTAGCTGTGTCAGATCTCTTGGTGGCCGTCTTGGTCATGCCCTGGAAAGCTGTGGCTGAGATTGCTGGCTTTTGGCCCTTCGGGTCCTTCTGTAACATTTGGGTAGCCTTTGACATCATGTGCTCCACCGCATCCATCCTTAACCTCTGTGTGATCAGCGTGGACAGGTACTGGGCTATCTCCAGCCCCTTTCAGTATGAGCGGAAGATGACGCCCAGGGCAGCTTTCATTCTAATCAGCATAGCTTGGACTTTGTCTGTTCTCATCTCTTTCATCCCCGTGCAGCTCAGCTGGCACAAGGCAAAACCCATGAGCCCTTCCGATGGGAATGCTACTTTCTTCGAAGAGGCTCCAGACAACTGTGACACCAGATTGAGCAGGACATATGCTATTTCATCTTCCCTAATAAGCTTTTACATCCCAGTGGCCATCATGATTGTGACCTATACTAGTATCTACAGAATCGCCCAGAAACAAATACGGCGCATCTCGGCCTTGGAAAGGGCAGCCGTGCATGCCAAGAATTGCCAGACCACCACAGGTAATGGAAATGTCGAATGTTCTCAGTCAGAGAGCTCCTTTAAGATGTCCTTCAAAAGAGAGACTAAAGTTTTGAAGACTCTGTCTGTGATCATGGGCGTGTTTGTGTGCTGTTGGCTCCCTTTCTTCATCTCAAACTGCATGGTGCCCTTCTGTGAGTCTGGGGAGACCCAGCCCTTCTGCATTGACTCAATCACCTTTGATGTGTTTGTATGGTTTGGGTGGGCTAATTCTTCCTTGAACCCCATCATTTATGCCTTTAACGCTGATTTTCAGAAGGCATTTTCAACTCTCTTAGGATGCTACAGACTTTGTCCTACCACGAATAATGCCATAGAGACAGTCAGCATCAATAACAATGGGGCTGTGGTGTTTTCCAGCCATCATGAGCCACGAGGCTCCATCTCCAAGGAATGCAATCTGGTTTACCTGATCCCACATGCGGTAGGTTCCTCTGAGGACCTGAAAAAGGAGGAGGCAGGGGGAATAGCCAAACCCCTGGAGAAGCTGTCCCCAGCCCTATCAGTCATATTGGATTATGACACTGATGTCTCTCTAGAGAAAATCCAGCCCATCACACACAATGGACAGCACCCGACCTGAACGCCTAGAGGAATCCTGGCATGCAAAAGCTAAAGGAGATTTCTTTGGAGCTTGCTGTTAGGAATCAGGGTCTGGTGAGAAAGTGAGATGTCAAGATAGCCTTCTGCTGCTTTCAAACAGACAACTAAGTATATTTTCAAATACATTCCAGTGTGTTTTCTGTTGTTCATAACCCATCAAACAGGGACATTTGGGAAACCACAGGGACACGTCTTTGACTCCAAAATCATTTTTGAAACTGTTGTCTTAGGATGTATGAACAACTTCACTTAAAAGTCAAACCTTTCTGGAGAGGAAGTGAGAAGGGTTGAGTTTGCAGTATACAAACAGGTGCTAAAACAGTTGCAAGCAAAGTTTTCAGATTGTAAAGGTAGGTGCATGCCTTCATAAATTATTTCTAAAAAAATTGAGCCTTATAGTAGGAATGGGTTTCTTTTTTCAGAATTGAGAGATGCTTTGTTGATACTGATTTTATTTATTTATTGTATTATATGTATATTTTAAAGCTATCGTAATCTATATTTATCATATTTAATAGAATAAACAATGAGTTATCTGAGATTGAGCTGTCCGTTGATCTAGCACTTTATAAGCCAATGAAGCAAACACAGACTCTGATTCTAAATGTTCATGAATAACTTCTAGAAACACAAAAGAGGCTGACAGGAAATGAAGTTGATAAAATACACTGGCATTAATAAATACAAGGTGAGAGTTGACAAATGCTGTGAATGTTTTTCTTTCCCCTAAAATGATTTTGAAAAAAATATAGCTACTATTGTGTTCTAAATGTTCTAAATGGCAAAGTCTTTTCCCAGGAGAATTTGCAGTTCTGTAAATATCTTATTTGAAATCTAGCTTAAGAAGAACACAGCTTTGCATTTATAATCTTAGGTGGTAAGGAAAAGTATATGCCACTTTGTATTTATGTAAAATAATTGGCCTTTTCTGTCTTTCCTCATTTCATGCTTCAAATAGCTTTTCTGAGCCAAACGAATGGCAGTCTTGGATAGAGATATGTAGCAAGGACAGTGAATTTCCTCAATTCTGGGGTCACAGTAGCCCCACAGATGGACAGAGCTCAAACCCCACATCTTTGTTTTCCCAGGTCAAACCAAGCCACCCTTGGGGCTAATTTTGTAGTGCTTTAACCTGAACTTAGAACTGACTTTTAAAAAACATGATCTTTAAATGTTAATATTATGCTAACTAATGAACAGTGCCTCATTATCCTTAAAGAAGGTACAGTACTTTTGTTGATGGAAAGAATGGGAGACCCCATTCTCTTTGGGTGTGTTAAGCACCCCAAAGCCATCAGCATCTCTCTGATGAATGTTGTCGCTTCTCTGTGCTTTGGAATCAGATTCCCTTGTCATAGTGTGGACTGTAAAAAGCCTCCCTTGCCAGATACTTAACTTCTGAGGGGTATTTCAACAGAGTTTTTTTTTCTTCATGTTTACAAGGTAGTGTTCTTGATAAGCAACTGACTTAACATGTAGATGAAATTGGTAAAAAGAACAAAAATCTACTGAAGAATATTTCCTGGATCAGGTCTGTGTTATATATGTATTGTGAATGTTTTCTTAATTTTTCTGCCTGTATGCTTTCTTACATATAATAAAACTATTTTGTGAACTCAAATCAACCTTGCACGAGTTGTGTTGTGTTTGTTAAATGTGTTTTAAAAGCTGGAATAGCTCAGGTGTATAAATAAGAAAACAAGAATATTTTCAAATATATATTGCTTTTTTAAAAAATTGGAAATTTTTCCTCCTGAGTATGCCATATGTTATCTCTGATATTTAAGCAGAAAATGTTTTCTGATTTGGGATACATACTTTTTCTTGTGTCTTATTTTCCCTTTTAAAGAAACCTTTCTTCACTTGAGGAACTACTTTAAAATGTTCAGATTCAATAGCTTTCCAAAAAATTGGCCTTTTATTCCCAAGTAATAAATTTAAAATTTCAGAAAAGACTGCACTCTACTATGGACTTGTTATGAATTGTGGCTGATAGCAACCACTTTATGTGTGGTATTCATTTTTAATGTAAAGTATAATAGATTTTTTTTCTGAAAAGAATAACAGGTTGTAATTCTGGGTTTAAGAAATTGTCAAACAAGGCATATTCTCAGGTCCTGCTAAAACTGCTACTTAGTTAATTGATATGCTAGTCATTTTTTTTTTATCTTGGAGAAGAAGAGCTCAACAGCAGGTGATAATGAAATTAAGGGTTAAATTGATCACACAGCAGATGGTGTCTTTTTAAATTCCCTATTTGCCTTCCCCAGGCTTCAGCATGTAATGAACATAATTTGGAATGAGTACCTATAAAGCGTGATGCCTTTTCTTTCTGCTTCATAAATTTCTGGATATCTTTACTTTTTAAAGTTTAATTTTATTCCTAAATCAGAAACCTCAGCAGCACAAGTTACAATGCTCAGGTGGAGTTGTCACTGTCTAACTGATGATACCTGACACAAAAGCGTTCTTTTACTGGCAAAAGAGTGAAATGTAAATAATATGTTACAAATGACATTAAATAATTTTACAGCTCAATACTTTTAAAATGAGCATATACTTTGAGCTCCTGGCATACTAGATTGATAAGATGTTATGAAATGTTAATTTTACTGAAAGAATCTTTCAGCCGAGTTAATTTGTAACTGTAAAAGCAAAATTACAATATGACTTTCATTTTTATTTTTAACTGTGGTGATGAATCTTAATAATGCCAATCTATGTGAAACACTTCAGCAAGTCAGAGACAATTAAAAAAAATCCCCCCTTTTAATCAAAGAAGTTGCCTTTCCTAATGGAATATGCACACTGGTTTTATTAGCCTCTTATGCAGTAGGAAGGGAGATTGAGCAGTGGGCTTTCATGCATTGAATTTGGGTGCATTTAGGAAAGTCATTGATTTCTTCTAGATCTAAGCAGGTCACACTCTCTGAATCTCAAAGGCATATTCCATGGTGGAGCTAATCCATTAAATAGCAAAAGCAGAACTTTTATATATAAACTTTTCTAGGGGAAGGATCACCTGCCCCCCTCCTTCCGGGCCCCAAAGAAATCAATATGGAGTCCAACTTTAGGAATTTCTGAATTCTCTGCTCCCTGAGCAGCCCCTTGTGATTTCTCCCCTGGCATGCACCAGCAGCATTTCACCCTATTTCTATCTCCTATCCCTAGCCGCTCTGTTTCTGACAGGCCAGTGTTCACAATGCAGCTACAATTTTCAGTCAGAAAATTGAAAACAGTTTTCTGAGCAAAGCCAATGCTGAATATTCACCACTCTGAGCTTGTTTGCCCATTTGTGAAATGGAAACTTATGTGCAGGTTCCTGTGAGGGTTAAAAGGAAGCCAGGGTGTGCAGAGACCTAAACACTAAGATGTGAAGTTCCTTGATTCTTTGCAGGATTTCTATTTTGAAAGCATCAAGCATTTAATATTTGCTGCATTTGTAATATAATGAATCTGCTACACACTTGACTTTTCCATGTTTGCTTGATGGAATGGAAGTGACTTCTAGAATACATGTAGCTTGAGATTCTCTCAGGTACCTTGTCTTCTGCTCTTATTGTCTATTATGCCAAAAGCAAGCAGCTTTTCATGTCTGTGTGATTAAGAAAATTGCCTTAAGTTACCATTAAATAGTGACTGTATAAATCTAACCAAAACACTTTAGTCAATCCGCTCTCCTTATTTGGCAGAATTTGTTTTGGGAATAATCAGTTAATAACCTGCTGGCTCCCCACTGTTAAACGCAAGACCTGTATGGTCCTGTTAGTGGGGTTATTCGCAGGATCTAACCTGGTGGATCATTAGACTGTGGTACTCTATAGACTCAGTATACCTCGCTCAATATATTTAAGATTTTATGCACAGAAAACACAAAAAACCTAACCTGTTTACTTTCTAGAGGATGGAGGAATGATGCGCATTATAGCGGAAGCAACACCTCTAGGATTTTGTTACCAGGCCAATCTGCATGGCCTTCTGTCATGTTAAGTAACTTCCAGGGGATGCACAGAATTAAAAAAAAAAAAGCAGCATCTGGACTTTAGACTGTTACATCATTCAAGACTTAGGGGTTGTAATTTACATAGTATTAGAAGCTCAAGAGTAATCTCTGATTTAAAAAGGGTTTAACTTTCTAATCATTATGAGAAAATGTCCTAAACCACTTAGAGCTTTTTTCATATTCATAGAATAGACATTGTAACTCCTCTCAGAATTGTGAAGTATTTGTAGCTATTAAAAAGGATCGGCTTTGAGCAGTAGCCACAGAAGTGAGACTACCTCTCAGGCTCCCTTGAGCAGAGACACTGGCAAAGTGGCAGGTGGGAGTAGGACCTGGGAAGACGGGATTAAAAGGCGGGGTGTTTCATTTCATTTAAACAAATGGATATACTATCTTATATCCCTTGATAATAAGTAGCTTTGTTTCTACACAATAGGGTTGGATAAGCTGCTTTCTGAGATGAATTCTGGTTTAAGATTAGGAGATATGAGACCTATTATGGGCAAAATCTGATTCTGATAGCTCCCCCCAGTTAGGTTTCCCAAATCCTCATTCTCTGTGCTATTGGAAATCTCACACGGCTTTGTATTTATACAGTATAAGCAGGTCTGCATAAGAAAGCTTTATTTAGCATTCTTTGATGGCAACCAATAACTTTGCAAGAAAAAAATTGGTCTCATTAAGGACCTTCAGGAGGTGGTCTCTGGCAATCTCTGCAATCTTATCCATTTTTACTACCTCAGTGATATTATCTTCCAGGAATTCGGAACTATGTACATTTTCTAGAGTTCTTAATTCTTTTCATGCTTGGGACACCCTTCCCTACTCTGCAGTTTACTGCTGCTCCTCTTTAGGATTAATTAGGCATAACTGCCATAGGCCTTCCTTGACATCTCCTTTCTGGCTCTACTCTCATCTTATCTTTGCAAAGAGGAATAATCTCCTTATTTCCATATTGTGCTCCTAAATGATGAGCATATTGAGAACAAAAGCTATTTCTTCCACCCTCTTCTGTACAGAGTCCAAAGGACTCAGGATATATAGCTTTTAGGAGATGCCCGTTATATCTTCGTTGAACAAATAAAGAAATGAACAAATCAAAAAAGGGAATGATAGGGCCACAATATTAGTGATGGTTCTTTCTAATATCTTTGGGTACAGTTACCCTCTGATGGCTGAGGCCTATAGATTACTGGAGTCTAACATGGTTGCACAAAGATAATTACATATATATTGCAGGAAAATTATGTTATATGCACACATAGACATGTACATATTTGTGTGCATATATATATATATATATATACATATATGTGTAAGTATGCATGCAATTTGAAGCAATTTGTATATACCAACCTTTTTAGATTTTTTGGTGCCAGGGATCGAACCTCCAACCTGCCAGGCAGGCACTTAGACCACTGATCTAAATCCCTGGGCCTGTACATACTAACCTTTCAGGAGCATTTTCTATGTCTTGGACAATGCTGGATGCTAGAAATGAATGAACTACTGTAACAGTCTTTGGGAAACTTTATAGTAGACAGAAAGAAGACACATGTACAAGTAAACCAACACCAAAAAGATGTTCTAAAAGTATGTGCATGGACAAGGAAAACATTCTCTTTTAGGTATTAGCATTAGCTCTGTTTTATGAGTCTCAGTAACTCAGTATCATCCCATTCCTATGTCTGCCTTACAAAATGCACCTTATTACTGTCATCCTCAACCGACAGACTGAAATCACTGATATTCAGGAACAGTGCATGCGTTAATATTCACAGAGGTCATGTAGTATGTCTAAGGTCGAACAGATAGTAAATAATGGGGCGAGGTTTGGATCTAGGGCTGTCTGATTTCAAAGCCTAGTCTCCATCGCAAGCCTGCTCTCCTTACCAGAAAATAGTTTTACCTAAACAAGTAACTTAAGAAATTTCTAAGTGACTTCACATGTTGGTGCATTGACAAATATACTGTTACTGATACTTTCAAGTACGCACAAATATAGATAGAAGTGTCAACCTCTGTGGACCCATCTAATGACTCAGCTTCAAATATTAACAAAACCAAGGCTGATGATCTTTGAAAGAGTTAGGGGAGCAAGGACAATAGGACGTGGGAATCTTTGGGGAAAGCATGAAGCTGAAGACAAGCAGATTTCTGCAACATTTAAATTTCAAAGAAATGGCTTTGTAGTGATCAAAGATAATAAAACAGAAATGACTTATTCAAGGGCCATTTCTTACGTTTATAGAACAATTTGATCAGGGTGCACTCAGTTATTTTTATTTTTGTTTGGTTTTTGGGTACTGGGAATAGAACTCAGGGCCTCATGCTTGCCAGGCAGGCACTGTGACACTGAGCTATGTCAATGACCCCCACTCAGTTTATTTTAGCAGACATGTCCACATCAGTCTGGTGCCCAGCACTGTTTTTTTTTTTGGGGGGGGAGGGGGACATGGAGAGTGAAAAATAAGAGGATGGGATAATGGGACTGTTGGGGAGGTGCTACTGGAGAGGCTTGGGAACAGGGCACAGGATTGGAGAGTAAGTGGGCTTCACCAGTGGGCTTGAAAGATGGAAAGAATTTTTACAATTAGAAACAGACAACGAGTGAAATA